TATTGTGACTCATCGCCTGCACAAGGCCGTTTTTCTAAATATTAAAAAAAAAAGTATAACCTAGTGAAAAACAGGTATATATTACCCGTGCTATTAAAATTATATTAAAATAATTACTCAAATAGACAATATATTCATGCCCAAAAGGTTCAACCGAGAGGCCTACAGAATATAACTCATAAAACTTAATTTCACACTCTCAAAGAGCTGCATGCTGGGAATCCAATATGGCGTCCAAGTTACCTCAGCCAATGCTTTATTTGAGGGCGCTCTACTCACTGGAGATAGATAGTTTTTTATTTATTATTATTTATTTATTTTTATTAGATATATAGAAGAGTTGTTACATTCTTGTAGAGCCACTAGTACGCGTAGCGTTTCGGGCAAGTCCTTAATCCTATGGTCCCTGGAATACGATCCCCCGCCGCGAAGAATCGTTGTTACAACCAAGTACACATTTTACTGTTGAGTTAAACAGAGGCTACAGTTAAGGAATTGCGTCCAGTAAATCCTCCCCGGCCAGGATACGAACCCATGACACAGCGCTCGCGGAACGCCAGGCGAGTGTCTTACCACTACACCACGGAGACTGTTTCTCTGTGTTTCTCTGTGCAAAGTCGTGCAACAAGTTACACAAATGTCTAGACGGAAACATGAGGTTAATGGAGATTACTTAGAAAGAATTAAAGTAATAATTACAAGGTGACAGGATACTATAAAGAAATCAAATAAACTAAAGGATATATAAATGAATACAAAATAAATTCTACAGAAAATTAGCCAAAAATAAAGGTAATAAAACGGAATATGGAAAATAAGATACAGGAATAAAGGAAATAAAACACACCGTCCTCAGGCAAAGTCCATTCCATCCAGCGGTCGACCCCAAAGATCCATTCATAAATTTTAACATGCTGTTCATTCAAAAACAGGAACTTTCTCAAATATATATTAATATTCTTTTGTATTAGCATATTGTACATATTTAGGCACTGATTAGGTTAGGTGTTTAGGTTCTGTTGGCGATTATTTGTATTTGTAGTACGTGGGTGAAGCATTTACAGCGTTGTGGTTCGAACACAAGTCGTCAGTGAAGCACTTGTTCCGGAAGTGTTCGGACGTCATCAGTTGTGAGTCGTGTGTAAACCGTTTTGTATTCATTAACAATGGGTTTGGCGGCTGGATGGAATAGACTTTGGGCCTTTGTTTAGACGGGCTGAATAGAACGGAATATTTTACAAGAACCTCGAACCCCAGTAAGCGAGATCTAGCAAGACAGAAAACGTAACACAAACAAAGAAAGCGAGGGTAAACATAGATAAATATTAAATAAGATCAGTACATTACACAAGACACAAGTATACCAGCATACAAGAGTCAACACATGCCTATAACCGGATAATAACCCTACATGTCTACAGAAAAAGTGTTCTATTTGTAAACATATGAAAAGGAGTGAGGGTGAAGGGTTTAGATGTAATGTTATGAACCTTGTGGAAGCTGACCCACCTGTTGCTGGCACCGTGTCAGGTGTTCTCCTGCTGTAGATGCTGCAAAGTGCTGCTGTTGATGCTGATGCTGTTGTGTTGTGGTCTTGTATGGTGCCCGTTGTGCTACAGCAGTTCCACCACCACCACTACCATGCTGTGTTGGAGCCCTGTTACCCTCCCCAGTCTTATCTTGAGGTTATCTTGAGATGATTTCGGAGCTTTTTAGTGTCCCCCGCGGCCCGGTCCTCGACCAGGCCTCCACCCCCAGGAAGCAGCCCGTGACAGCTGACTAACACCCAGATACCTATTTTACTGCTAGGTAACAGGGGCATAGAGTGAAAGAAACTTTGCCCATTGTTTCTCACCGACGCCTGGGATCGAACGCGGGACCACAGGATTATAAGTCCAGCGTGCTGTCCGCTCGGCCGACCGGCTCCCAGGTCTTCCAAACACTAACAAAATAGTTTTTTTTCAGGGAAAGGAGGGCAAAGTTTCGAGGTTTTGGGTTCTTGTTCTCCTTTCCTGTACCAAGTTTCACTTGCAAATGTCATATATTTCTTTCGTGAAAACGGTTTATAACTAAAAGTTTTAGTCTGTTTTATTATTAAAACAGATTAACGTCCTATACAGCAACAAGCCACAGTCACCCAAGATGCACAATGAAATAACACCAGGATGAACATCCCAGCGGGTTTTCTTCCTATTGGGGAGTGTTGTACATGATGCTATGGCGGTGTGTCCACTCACAAGATGAGTGACGCTGCCCAATACTGTCACTATGGCGGTGTGTCCACTCACAAGATGAGTGGCGCTGCCCAATACTGTCACTATGGCGGTGTGTCCACTCACAGGATGAGTGGCGCTGCCCAATACTGTCACTATGGCGGTGTGTCCACTCACAGGATGAGTGGCGCTGCCCAATACTGTCACTATGGCGGTGTGTCCACTCACAGGATGAGTGGCGCTGCCCAATACTGTCACTATGGCGGTGTGTCCACTCACAAGATGAGTGGCGCTGCCCAATACTGTCACTATGGCGGTGTGTCCACTCACAGGATGAGTGGCGCTGCCCAATACTGTCACTATGGCGGTGTGTCCACTCACAGGATGAGTGACGCTGCCCAATACTGTCACTATGGCGGTGTGTCCACTCACAAGATGAGTGACGCTGCCCAATACTGTCACTATGGCGGTGTGTCCACTCACAAGATGAGTGGCGCTGCCCAATACTGTCACTATGGCGGTGTGTCCACTCACAGGATGAGTGACGCTGCCCAATACTGTCACTATGGCGGTGTGTCCACTCACAAGATGAGTGGCGCTGCCCAATAAACTCGCCCCTCGGGCCAAAATTTAAAAAAAAAATTAACAGCGTGATGTATCTATCAGAAGTGATTGGGATTGCATCTGCGTCACTGGACTCCCCCCTCCCCCCCCCCTCTCTCAGGCACCAACGAGGGTTCAATCCCATTATCTTCGAGGGCGTGTTCTTGAGCTGAAAAATACACCAATCATCATCCAGCCACTTTTATCACTTTGCCACTCGGTAAAAGCACAACCGTTTTGCCATAGGACCCCCAGCAACCCACCTGACCTATCGAGACCTATGCATGGAGATCGTTAATTTTATCTTGCGTCAATTTCTACTATCAAGTCGTATTTTAAACGGATTAGTCGAATCCGTCAAAAATGCGACTTATTAGAGGAGAGACGAGGTTGATTCATCCATCACCTTCTCTATTTCTATCTGAAAGCGTTAATAATATCCCTAAACCATGGCATTTTTTACCCTGGGGGTCAGGTTATCTTGAGATTCTTGAGGTTATCTTGAGATGATTTCGGGGCTTTAGTGTCCCCGCGGCCCGGTCCTCGACCAGGCCTCCACCCCCAGGAAGCAGCCCGTGACAGCTGACTAACACCCAAGTACCTATTTTTACTGCTAGGTAACAGGGGCATAGGGCGAAAGAAACTTTTACCCATTGTTTCTCGCCGGCGCCTGGTATCGAACCCAGGACCACAGGATCACAAGTCCAGTGTGCTGTCCGCTCGGCCGACCGGCTCCCGATTGCGCAAACAACACAAAAATATAGAGCGCTCAGTTAGATGACAGACAGAGTGGTCAGTCGACTATTTTCTTGGCGCGAAGTGCGCATCTCTGAGCAGTTTCCCGCGTCAGCCGCCTCGGCGCCCAGCAGGGCGTCTCTGCGCAACACCACCGTCAGGTTTTTGTTGCAGGCTTGTTGTCACCTGCCCGGGACACCCGCCTACCTAACCGGGTCACACCTGCATCAACCGGTTTTGCTTGGCACGTGTCTTTAAATTACTGATGCTGCTGACGTTAGTGGGTACCCAGTACCCATGTGGTTGCTTGTACGGTACCCAGTACCCATGTGGTTGCTTGTACGGTACCCAGTACCCATGTGGTTGCTTGTACGGTACCCAGTACCCATGTGGCAGCTTGTACGGTGGCCAGTACCCATGTGGCAGCTTGTACGGTACCCAGTACCCATGTGGCAGCTTGTACAGTACCCAGTACCCATGTGGCAGCTTGTACAGTACCCAGTACCCATGTATCAGCTTGTACGGTACCCAGTACCCACGTGGCAGCTTGTACAGTACCCAGTACCCATGAGGCAGCTTGTACGGTAGCCAGTACCCATGTGTGAAGGAGTAGACACCGCGGCTACACCACCCCACTACACACTACACACTACACATGTATCAGGCAGAACACAAGACAACACAGACAAAGCCCAGCCACCAAAAGTGAAAATGTAAACAAAATATTACCCCCATGATCCACGGGCTCCTATATCATGTAATTTACCCAGAATTCATCAATTATTTACCCGTCCACCTACGAAACCAGTGCATCTTTCCTCGATCATTGCGATATGGTCTGCATTTATTGAACAATTTATGAGCTGTGAAACTTTGCAATCTAACGTTAACAAGCAACTTTGTGGCGTTTCCGAGCTCATAAACTGTTTAATCAAAGTAAATTAAGCTACCAAGATTGTGGAAAGATGTAGAGGTTTCATAAATAGACACTTAAGTATTTGATGAATTCTGGTGCAGGCGATGAGTCACAATAACGTGGCTGAAGTATGTTGACCAGACCACACACTAGAAGTTGAAGGGACGACGACGTTTCGGTCCGTCCTGGACCACAATCGACTTGAGAATGGTCCAGGACGGACCGAAACGTCGTCGTCCCTTCAACTTCTAGTGTGTGGTCTGGTCAACATGAATTCTGGTCCAATGGTTATTAGCGTCGTGGCGTGACCTGTCCCAGGTGTTAAGATCAACACATCACTCCTACAAACTGACTTTAACAAGTCAGTTTAAAACTCACCAAGGCAGTCAGAAGTGAAAACATCACTTCACATCAATCACAAAAACCTGCAAGAATATAATTAATCCAAATATGCTAACGTAAAGACTGATTTTGATCTCCAAGTAAGACTTGGAGAGTCCAACTAACCTGTTACCTGCACGAGAGGGACTCACCTGTTTCTCGGAGATGGGGATGGCATTGGCGAAGACAGTCCAGATAACCACCTCATTACAGGTGGGAGTAGTGAGGGAGCCTTCATACCTGTAGAACTTCTGTAAGTTGTTGGGCAAGAAGGCGCGTAGAGGGTAGGGTGACGACAACTCAGCGAACATCCCTGTAGAAGACCCGACGGTAAGACAAGAGTGGAAATTGAAATTGAATTGAAATAAGTTGCGGCAGGGGATCGTATTCCAGGGACCTGCCCGAAACGCTACGCGTACTAGTGGCTCTACAAGAATGTAACAACTCTTGTATATATCTCAAAAAAAAAGTTTATTGAGGTAAAATACACACAAAGGGATGAGGTAGCTCAAGCTATTCTCACCCCGTTCAGTACATCGTGTTAATAGACACACATCACAAACATATTACCAAACATTCTGAGGAACATTATTGCCAACAGCATTTGGTGTTCCCAGGCGGTCACCCATCCAAGTACTAACCAAACCCAACGGTGCTTAACTTCGCTGATCGGACGAGAAGCGGTGTTCTCAACGTGGTATGGCCGTTGGCACAAGAGTGGAGGTGGGACACACTACTACAGGTGAGGAATAACAGGCGAGGAGTCACAATAACGTGGCTGAAGTATGTTGACCAGACCACACACTAGAAGGTGAAGGGACGACGACGTTTCGGTCCGTCCTGGACCATTCTCAAGTCGATTGTGAGAATGGTCCAGGACGGACCGAAACGTCGTCGTCCCTTCATTTTCTAGTGTGAGGAATAGCGCTGGGGTGGAGAAGAGAGAGGGTGTAGGGGGAGAGAGTAGTGAGAAGGGGGTCCTTGCGTAGGTGGGGGAGAACGGTAGTGTGTAGATGGTAGATGGTATAAGTAGATGTCAGAGGCGCGGAGTGTGTTAGAGAAGAGTAACCTGCACTGGTGACTTTTGACGTATTCGAACATATATGGGATATACATATATGGGATATACGTATATGGGATATACATATATGATATACATATATTTTACCCACTCTCGTGTTCTTATAGATATCTTCGTACAGCATTCAAGGTTTGTCAGTGGCGGACCACTAATCACATGCCTCTATAACTAACCATCCTGCCAGATGAGACTCATTAGAATGACAATTAGCTCTTGACAAACTATATAACCCGACATAGAGTTAGGGGTTACAAGTGACCGTTTACCAAGGCATATTAATAACAAGGAGAGAGAAGGGCAGTGTGTGGTCAAGAGTAGTTAGAGGCAGCGTGTTGAACAGGACAGCACATGAGAAATCCCAGAAGAGAGAGAGAGAGAGAGAGAGAGAGAGAGAGAGAGAGAGAGAGAGAGAGAGAGAGAGAGAGAGAGAGAGAGAGAGAGAGAGAGAGAGAGAGAGAGAGAGAGAGACAGAAACAGAGAGACAGAGAAACAGAGAGACAGAGAAACAGAGAGGCAGAGAGAGAGAGAGACAGAGAGAGAGAGAGAGAGAGAGAGAGAGAGAGAGAGAGAGAGAGAGAGAGAGAGAGAGAGAGAGAGAGAGAGAGAGAGAGAGAGAGAGAGAGAGACAGACAGAGAGACAGAGACAGAGACAGAGAGACAGAGACAGAGAGACAGAGACAGAGAGACAGAGACAGAGAGACAGAGACAGAGAGACAGAGACAGAGACAGAGACACAGAGAGACAGACACAGAGAGACAGACACAGAGAGAGACAGAGACAGAAACAGAGAGAGAGTAGATACTCTCCATCATGGACCTACTCAAGCGACGAGGCCCCACAAGCAAACCCCACATCTCCCATACCGCCGTAGACCTCACCGGACTGTGTTATGTTGAGAAGAGCGTTAGCGAGGGGCGTGAGGGCCGGGTTGTCCGTCTCAGACACCTCCATCATCACTCCCAACACTGCCAATCCGTCCTGCCTCTTGATAGCCTCCGTCAGAGTTCCGTAAGCTGCGTTGTAGTGGACCAAGTGAAGTTCCATCGGGTACCTGAGCAAGTTACAGCCGTCACAAGGCCTTACTAACATCTTTGTAATGTTTCTATACCTCTCTAGTACGTCCTGAGGTAAATGAATATGTTAATTACATTAATTACTATTTTTAGGTCTAAAAATATTAAATTATAAAGTTTAAAGTTTGGAAAATTTTGTTCTATAACGAAATTTGGTTAGGTAATGAGTGGTTCTTGAACTCTGTCTTTCTAATCAATATTTGATTGGGAATGAGAAATAATTGAAATCTTCCTTTAGTAATGTGTTTATGATTTTCACCGAGGGGAGTTTCCTCTATGTGTTATGACATGTGTAGCCCTCTATGTGTTATGTGTAGCCTCTATGTGTTATGACATGTGTAGCCTCTATGTGTTATGACATGTGTAGCCTCTATGTGTTATGACATGTGTAGCCCTCTATGTGTTGACATGTGTACCATCTATGTGTTATGACATGTGTAGCCTCTATGTGTTATGACATGTGTAGCCTCTATGTGTTATGACATGTGTACCCTCTATGTGTTGACATGTGTACCATCTATGTGTTATGACATGTGTACCATCTATGTGTTGACATGTGTACCATCTATGTGTTATGACATGTGTAGCCTCTATGTGTTATGACATGTGTAGCCTCTATGTGTTATGACATGTGTACCCTCTATGTGTTGACATGTGTACCATCTATGTGTTATGACATGTGTACCATCTATGTGTTGACATGTGTACCATCTATGTGTTATGACATATGTAGCCTCTATGTGTTATGACACATGTAGCCTCTATGTGTCATGACACATGTACCTCTATGTGTCATCAGGCGACCACCAGGACGACATTCCTGGTGCTGGGTGAGGCCCGGGCTCTCAACGCGACCCGCCCGGCTAAAATGAATTGATAATTGCAGGAATGGACGACTCCAAGGCTTGTGTGGAGTGGGTGCCGTAACGACTCCTTCTCCTGCCTCCCTCCATCGGAAACACATTCTTATTGGCTCCCACAACCCACCCTCATTTCCATCTTTATTATATTCCACCACTCGGGACGTCGACGGGATGCGAACCGGGCGATTGATTTGTTCCAGAGCTTTGAGCATTTTGCTGATCCTACAAGGTTCATATGACCTCCTACCCGCCAAACACACACCGAAACTACGACGTTGGTACAACGTTCGAACAAGTTTTAACACCTCCTAACCAGTTATAACAACCAATATAGCAAGTTGTAACAACGTTCTAATACGTCATAAACACGTTAAGCCAAGATGTAACAACTTTATGACAAGTTGTAACACGCGGAAAATAGAGACAGTTACGGGATGTGTTTCCAGGGTTAGCAGACACACACCAACTGCTTTCCATACGGTAGCCGGCCCTGAAGGTGTAGTTAGTAATATCTAGCAATATTGTCCAAAAAATGTTATTTCTCTAATACAGTTTAACATTATTACATGGAAAAAAAACACAAAGCTGAGAGTAGACTTCACTAGAGATAAAGATTTACTTGAAAAGTTTACAGATTATCAGTTGAAGTATCAATATATATAGTACTGAATAGCAATTTAGTGCTCTGTTCAACTGTTGTTTGGCTTGTGCATAACTAGAGGAGTGGTTTAGTGATTTGGTTATGTTTATTAATGGTGTGGGTTGAGTGACATTGAATCACGGCTCCAGTAATGTGACAGCCCGTCAGCATTGCATACGCCGCTGATATTATATCACAATATATGCCTCATAGATTGGCCTGGGGGATAGGTTTATTCCCAGATCATTTTTACATGCCTTTTCGCCATCGTGTACTGTCTGTATGACCTTACTCGCATTGGAAATCATATCACCGTGCATTTGCTGGTGTTTAAGTCGAACAGCCATATATCAGGCTACCCCTCTGGTCTGTTTATATCCACTAGAGGCATTTCTTATTCGTATTTTCAGTTTAGAGTTGTCGAGAAAAATTGAGTGTGAGGAAGTTGTATTGTGTGATGGTTGTGTGTGTGGGGGGGGGGTTGTGTGTGTGTGGGGGGGGGGGGGTTGTGTGTGTGTGGGGGGGGGGGGTTGTGTGTGTGTGGGGGGGGGTTGTGTGTGTGTGGGGGGGGGGTTGTGTGTGTGTGGGGGGGGGGTGTGTGTGTGTGTGGGGGGGGGGGGGTTGTGTGTGTGTGGGGGGGGGGGGGGGGTTGTGTGTGTGTGGGGGGGGGTTGTGTGTGTGTGGGGGGGGGGGGGGGTTGTGTGTGTGGGGGGGGGGTGTGTGTGTGTGTGGGGGGGGGTTGTGTGTGTGTGGGGGGGGTTGTGTGTGTGTGGGGGGGGGGTTGTGTGTGTGTGGGGGGGGGGTTGTGTGTGTGGGGGGGGGGGGGTTGTGTGTGTGTGGGGGGGGGTTGTGTGTGTGTGGGGGGGGTTGTGTGGAGGGGGGGGTTGTGTGTGTGTGGGGGGGGGTTGTGTGTGTGTGTGTGGGGGGGGGTTGTGTGTGTGTGGGGGGGGGGGTTTGTGTGTGTGTGGGGGGGGGGGGGGTTGTGTGTGTGTGGGGGGGGGGGGTTGTGTGTGTGTGTGGGGGGGGGGTTGTGTGTGTGTGTGGGGGGGGGGTGTGTGTGTGTGGGGGGGGGGGGGTTGTGTGTGTGTGGGGGGGGGTTGTGTGTGTGTGGGGGGGGGGTTGTGTGTGTGTGTGGGGGGGGGGTTGTGTGTGTGTGTGGAGGGGGGGGTTGTGTGTGTGTGTGGGGGGGGTTGGGTGTGTGTGTGTGTGGGGGGGGGGGTTGTGTGTGTGTGGGGGGGGGGTTGTGTGTGTGTGTGTGGGGGGGGGGGGGTTGTGTGTGTGGGGGGGGGGGGTTGTGTGTGTGTGTGGGGGGGGTGTGTGGAGGAGGGGGGGGTTGTGTGTGTGTGGGGGGTTGTGTGTGTGTGGGGGGGGGTGGTGTGTGTGTGTGGGGGGGTTGTGTGTGTGTGTGTGGGGGGGGGGTGTGTGTGGAGGGGGGGGTTGTGTGTGTGTGGGGGGGGGTTGTGTGTGTGTGGGGGGGGGTTGTGTGTGTGTGGGGGGGGGAGTTGTGTGGAGGGGGGGGTGTGTGTGTGGGGGGGGGGGTTGTGTGTGTGTGTGGGGGGGGGGTTGTGTGTGTGTGGGGGGGGGGGGTTGTGTGTGTGTGTGGGGGGGGGGTGTGTGTGGAGGGGGGGGTTGTGTGTGTGGGGGGGGGGTTGTGTGTGTGTGGGGGGGGGGGGGTTGTGTGTGTGGGGGGGGGGTTGTGTGTGTGTGGGGGGGGGTTGTGTGTGTGTGGGGGGGGTTGTGTGGAGGGGGGGGTTGTGTGTGTGTGTGTGGGGGGGTTGTGTGTGTGGGGGGGGGGGTTGTGTGTGTGTGTGGGGGGGGGGGGTGTGTGTGTGGGGGGGGGGGTTGTGTGTGTGTGGGGGGGGGTGTGTGTGTGTGTGGGGGGGGGGGGTTGTGTGTGTGTGGGGGGGGGGGTTGTGTGTGTGTGGGGGGGGGTTGTGTGTGTGTGGGGGGGGGGTTGTGTGGAGGGGGGGGTTGTGTGTGTGTGTGTGGGGGGTGTGTGTGTGTGTGGGGGGGGTGTGTGTGGGGGGGGGGGGTTGTGTGTGTGTGTGTGGGGGTTGTGTGTGTGTGTGGGGGGGGTTGTGTGGAGGGGGGGGGTTGTGTGTGTGGGGGGGGGTTGTGTGGAGGGGGGGGGGTTGTGTGGAGGGGGGGGGGGTGTGTGTGGAGGGGGGGTTGTGTGGAGGGGGGGGTTGTGTGTGTGGTGGTCACGCTGTGGACTCGTGTGTTGTCGGGCGTGGGGGGGATTTGACAATCTATATTTCATTTAAAATAGATTTAATATAATTACAAAACATAGTTTCAGTTACAAACCAGTAAATGGAAATGTGTGTGTGTGTGTGTGTGTGTGTGTGTGTGTGTGTGTGTGTGTGTGTGTGTGTGTGTGTGTGTGTGTGTGTGTGTGTGTGTGTGTGTGTGTGTGTTAATTACTCAATAACACTCCCAAGGCCAAATTAACCATTCGAGCAGGAATCATTACATTTCTAATTTTCTTCACAAGGGTTAAGTTTGAAATTCATCTCCTACAAATTAATTTTACAAATACACTGAACCTGACGCATTTGGCTAAAGTACACCTTAGCATCCTCAGAGGCAGAAGAGAATTAAATACAATTGAGTAAAGCCAACGATATGTATTCCAAGCGAGTGTGACGATAGGAGGGTTGGGTTCCATGTTGATGGCATTGGATGATCTCATCCTGCATTCTCAAAGCTGGGCTGGTGTAGGTGTAGTGTAAACTGGTCGTTCTCTCGCGGTCTTAAAGATGGCACGACGTGCTAAGGTGTAGACTGAGGAGTGGGATAAGTGTGCTTCATGTAGCGTGCTTCGGCTATGTCTAAATGATGATGATGATGAAGATTAAGCCACCTAAAAGGTGGCACGGGCATGAATAGCCCGTAAGTGGTGGTGGCCCTTTTGAGCCATTACCAGTATCAATAGCTGATACTGGAGATCTGTGGAGGTGCGACTGCACCCTGCGTGACGGGAGATGTCTCCCGTGAAGAGTATGTCTAAATCTTCTATAGTCACCTACAGAAGATAGATCTTCTGTAGTCACCAGGTTCATTAATGTGGTGTTGGCGGTCAAGATCTCTCTGATGGTCTGGTTGTGTGGAGGTGTGTGCTCTATAACCGAGTTATTCGTGCTTATCTGGGGCCAGATTCACGAAGCAGTTACTTACTTACGAACCTGTCCATCTTTTCTCAATCTTTGGCGGCTTTGTTTACAATTATTAAACAGTTAATGAGCTCCGAAGCACCAGGAGGCTGTTTATAACAATAACAACAGTTGATTGGCAAGTTTTCATGCTTGTAAACTGTTTAATAAATGTAAACAAAGCCGCCAAAGATTGAGGAAAGATGGACACGTTCGTAAGTGCTTGCATAACTGCTTCGTGAATCTGGCCCCAGGTTCGTATGTGCTTGCGTAACGGCTTTGTGAATCTGGCCCCAGGTTCGTAAGTACTTGCGTAACTACTTCGTGAATCTGGCCCCAGGTTCGTATGTGCTTGCGTAACGGCTTCGTGAATCTGGCCCCAGGTTCGTAAGTAGTTGCGTAACGGCTTCGTGAATCTGGCCCCAGGTTCGTAAGTACTTGCGTAACTGTTTCGTGAATCTGGCCCCTGGGCCCCTGAGGTTCATATTCCGTTACTGTCACCGTAACATGACCCCGACGCTGCTCTTCGTGTCTACAGTGTTGATGAGTCTCCCTGTGGCTCTCGCTTCTCCCTAACTACACGACGGTTACTGGTACGAGCCTCTTCTTGTAGCTCATGGCCAGGATTAATCATTTATAAATGCAGTTACGAAACCTGTACATCTTGTTCCCCAATTTTGGCGGGTTTGTTTACATTAGTCATTCTGAATTAGTACTTTTCCTTATAATTGCCAGACTTAACCTAGTTCGCATTTGTTAACTAGTTTTTGAGATCAGAAACACATTGGTTCTGATGTTTTGAAGCTCTCAATGTATA